AACAAAAATGAAACATTGACACATCATACATTGACACAATGCATTCCCACGGTTGAACATGCATCTCAATGTGAGCCTGGGTGTGTGTAGTACATTATGCACCTTATGGATAAGCCACAGTATTGTGCACACACCAGTGATATAACTTGTTGATCAATATGTCTTTCAAAGCCTAGCTAATTTCTCTCTGTCAAATACCAGTATATAAAGACAATACAAATGCGACTCACATATAGAGGACATGATTCTCCCCTAGACAGAGCAATCTTGTCTGATCTCATCTAAGCAAGTACAGATATCAATGAGAGTTTGGATTATTTGGAATGGTAAGCATGTATACTTGGCTATTATCAGGTTCACTCAACAAATATATAGACAGTACCATTGAATAGAGATCAAAATTCTGAGCCTGGTGGTATATAACACTTGGGGGGAGGCAATGATGTCATCAGGTCATGTGCCTTGGGCGCTTTTTTCTGATTGTGGCACTAATAGGATTTTGTGTTGTGCATAGTGGCAGCAAAGGTGGCCACATCCAAATAATTTTTGGATATATGGACTCTGCTCATGCATAGCTTTCTGTTGATATATATTTCATGACATATAGCCAACTGGGGGCCAAGATATTGAGGCATTTGTGTTGGGAACCAAACAAGACCACAGTCTGTGGCAGGGGAACAAGGAGACCCCACCGGGACTCGTTGGCGCTCGGTCACCGGATTTCGGTGACCAGCGCCTGTCCCGCGCGGGGAGTCACAATCACTCGGTGACCACGGTGGAGGTCCAAACCGAGGGGCATGGGCGCTTCAGATTCGCCGACTTGTTACTCTCGTATATACTCCACAAGTGCCGTGCAAAGCAATTTCTTTGCGGAATATAATACTATAACATGTCCAGAACGTATTGGCATAGCTCATTCTCCTTAGTAAATTATGCCTCAAGCGTGCGGGCAGACTTCGCGAGCCTACACTTTTCGGGCGCCAATTCTGCAAACGAGCGCTGGACCGACGAGTTCAATGTTCAACCTTGTTCTTGCTCCTCCCACCTCCGCGATCCCTCTCTCCTGCCCTCCTCTCCTCTCTGGCTCTTGGCTTTACTTTATGCATCTCTAGTCTTCTATCCTATTCTCTCTTGTTATAAGCTATCCACGGTGGCTTCTGAAAGCCAGTCATAATCCATATGTTACCTCCATGCTTGCCGCACTCCGAGCCGGCTTCCTCTTCAACACTTCTCGACACGGCTTTCAATAATGCCTTGATTGATCCCAGTCTTCTGGGTCTCCAGGGGAACCCGGCATCTTGCACTGCAACCACACTGCTTGGCCAGGCAGTCCAACCTAGCGAGGAAGAGGGAGATGGGATCTGTCCGGTGATTGATGGCTCGGGGCGGCGCGTCTCGCGGGAAGCGTTCTTGGTCCACCTGTATGTATCATCACCATTGCTTGACATCCAGTGCTGACAGTCTGTCCAGGCAAACATACAAGCGCAAGGAACGGCTGCGAAGCGCATGCCATGCCTATGGCCTGTCAGCGCCGAAGTCTGCCAACCTAGAGGCCTTGCGCGCTCGGTTGCTCTCGTTCTGGTATGGGTTTCAAGCATCGGGCTGCAACGTGAGCATGCACTGAGGCTTCACAGGTACCCCAACAGTGCGCTTGAGGTCCCGGGTGCCTTCCCAAGTTCAACGCTAGCTTCCACGCTCAGTGACACCCCTCTCCCTCTGTCGAGTTCCACGACACTGGGCTCAGCACCGTCGACTTCCGCATCTGCTGACCAGAGCGGCTTTGACGATGAGGACACCCTCGTATCTCAGTTCGATGTTGAGGGTCATGGTACAGCCCTGCTCGGATACGACCGGGACGGTCTTGATGAAGAAGATGAGGACCTTGACGATCCAGAAGACACGGGCTCCGACGGTAGCTGCCAGCCGCTCATCACTACCATACCTGCCACTCACCTGCTCACCTGCTGACACAGAGGCCTTCCACCGGTTTCAAACAAAGACACGCGTCGACGCTGCCCAGCGTTTTGAAGACAACCGGCGTGCAGGAGGCAAGAAGACTCAGCAGGCAAACGTTAAGGCATGGAAGGTACAGTTTCAGTGTATTCTCAATGCCCTACTGCTACTGACGCACCTGTAGATATTCCTGAATGAAGCGCTTGCAAAAGGGCACATCCGCGATGATATTGTGGATGAGCATGCGCTCCTCCTGTACATAAACTGTACAGCAGATCGTTGCAAGCGGGATCGAAAGGGCGACGCGATCTTGGGTACGCGCGTAGGCGCAGTAAGTAACTATGCGACTGTGTCACCCATACCGACGCTGACATCCATTGTATGTACCTGCAGTCACAGATAAAGAAGGAATTCTTCGGTGCATTGCGTGTACGCAAGGCTCAAGAGGCGCACAATCCATCACTGGCTCGTAAGCGACCGGCAACTACAATGAGGGTGTACGATCTGGTCAAGGCGCGCATGGATGAAGCCCTGCGTCGTGCACGGCTGTAGGTTTCTATAAATGTTCTAGTTCTTATTGATTGCTCATCATTCCCCCTGGGTCACCCAGTGGCCTTATTCCAGCGCAGGATGCACCAGACATTATCGCCAATACGTTCCTTGAACAGGTGACCGATGACCAGCTGTTTAAGATCCGGCTTGGGTTCTTAGAGCATTGTGAACGTAAGGGTCCCCAGAGTACTAGGGTAACATTAGCCTGACACTCCATATGCAAAGTCCATAGCACCATCAAAGGGTTCCTTGCGTGGACCCTCTGTAGCGCAAGTGGGAAACGTGGTGATGATATCCGTGCATTGAAGTTATGTGAACTGCAGCCGTACGTCCTGGTACATCCCGACAAACTGACACATATCTCGGCGATCCTCGGACTGCAGGCTGAAGACAAGACGGGCCATCGTGGCATGAAAACGGTGCGAGACTATGGCATGTTTTCTGCACCTGTGATGGATTCTGAGTGCATACAACAGATGGTCAACCCGCGTTATACGTGCTGGATTGCCCACCGAGACCCGCATCAGTGTCCGCTTGGCGCGCTCACTTTTCTCCTACATTTCGTACATGATCAGTACGAACTCGGGCGGAAGCTCGACATCCAGTGGACAGTGAACAAGACCTGGCGACAAGTAGGCATTTAATCTACTCAATTCTGTAGCTTCTAACCGGCCTCTTTGCAGGTGCGGCTGATCTTCGGATCGTCTCCGAATACTCCGTACAACGAGCACAACCTGTACAATCTCTACTGCCAGGCATTCAAGAAGGCGGAGTTTGAGTCAGGAATCAAGGCACACCTTCCGCGGCATATCCTAGGGTACCAGCAAGAGCGGCTTGGGTACGTCCAACCTCCCGGCTTCACCGGTGCGATACTACTCCTAACCAACACAATATACAGTGTCGATAGTACGGAGACCATGCGGCTCGGGTGGGCGCGCGACACCTATACCGATGTGTATGCACCGTCGCTCCCAAAAAAGGTAGTGTGCCCTCTTAAATATGTTGATATTTCTGCTCATCATTATGTACACAACAGGCAATTCTTGCATGCCACAGGTACATGGATCATGAAGACTATGCTCCCACCCGTTTGCAGGTACCTGTACCGCCTGCTTTCCTTGTACGCATGTGTCCGATGGCAGAGGAGATTATCTCTTCCGTTGACGGCGTTGCCAACCTTGTCGGCACAACAAATCACTGGAAAATGGTGGTTGGGCTGCGGCCCCATTTATTCCTGGTACGTTTCTCTCACTCGCAGTGGACTAGAGCTGATTGTGTGTCTATGAAAGTGTGCAGCAGCGCTTTACCAGGTCAGGCCTGGATCGCCCATATTCCGTCTTCCCGCGCTTGCGCACGATGACGTGAAGCTCTGGATGAAGACGGAGTTCCCCTCGCAAATTCTCACGCTGGACGCCAGTGTGGGCGACCCAATCAGCGTAGAACGTCTTCAGAACGTACTCCTGCGTCAATCATTGCAGCACGTTGTTGTCTTGCTCCAGGGTCAACGTCGTGAAGTAGCCCACCTCCATGCGGTCATAGACCGGCGGACTGCAGCATTCTCACCGCCCAGGATTGACATTACGACAAGTCATGAACCTACCCGAACTCGGGGAATGGTGCTCCAATTTGATTTGTCCAGGCAGCTATCTCTGTAAACACGTCTAATATATTAGAACTAGACCAGGACCCAGGCGTAGAAGCATCGCACAGAGTGTCATCAGACATATCAGAGGACCTCACATGGTCGGCGCCAGCGCATGTCAGCCTGCAGCTTGAACCGTCCGTGTTTGTCGACGCGCAGACACGTACCCGCCAGGATAGCGGAGTATACGAAGCAGAAGACTCCACGTTGCGTGCGTTTGTAGCGCCATCTCCAGCGTCGCCAATCCTTGGACGGCAGAGGACTGAAGTCGACCTCGTGCTTCCTCCATCTGCCGCGTTCACATCCCCTGGTGCGTGACACAGCCATCTGTTATGACCTACTTATACATGTTACTTACAGGTCAGCCGTTGCGTCTACCCAACTTCGGAAAGGGGTCGGTTACATGGGAGGCTGTCTTTGGCAGCATCAGACAACCGTCCTACCTGTGGGATGTATGGAGGCCGTCGCGCACCCTTGACCGCTCAACAATCCAAGATTTGTGGGATTGTTATAACACTGGTGAGATCATGAGAGATGAAGGCGGTGCTCCGGTTGCCATGAAGCCGCCGCTCCGTCTGGTCGAACAGCGCTTCCTTTCAACGTGGTGGAAGACTGCAGCGGTAAGCCCAATATCATGACTAGATCTAGATTGCATGCAGGACTAACAGATTGACATAGGCTCGGAAGGCATGGCAGCGTCTCCGAGAGATCCCAGAGTGGATCGAGAACACCGCAAAGGTGCAATGTCTCACCCCCGAGGACGCCATCGCTCTGCTAGAAGAACGCCGCCATTCCAAAGGACCCGCTGGCTCTAAGGGTTTGAGCACGCTCGTGAGTGAGCTCGCAGAAGAGCGCAAGAGGCAAGTCATGCACACTCCAAACGCTCCGCAACCGAGCAACACTTCGCCGTCTCCTAGCCCACGGACATCTCCCGCTCCACCCGGAAGTTCACAGCCGTCATCCGCCAGCTCGGGAAGCACTGGGAAACGCAAACGCGCACCCGCTGTTGGCGCTAGGAGTAAGAAGAGGAAGCCCACGCTAGCCCTAGCACGTTAGAAGTGTTTTCTGTTCCAGCCGTGCACATTATCACCTACGCTCCATAGTTTTGTACATATCCTACATCCTACTTGAACGCGATACATGCCAGGTAACTCCGATTAGTGTCGGTCCGACGTGGTGGATATCCGACAAAATGGCCCGAAACCACAGTTGATCCGAATGGACACCCGCGGTTTGACACATCCGAGCCTCACAAGGCATAAGTATTCGACTGTCATGTCTGTAGCACACAAAATCACCCCTTCCGCATCCACTACACTCCTTGAACTACACACAAACCCGACGCTAGTATCAAGAAATGGCCCAACATTTTATTCGGGTCGCATTATGGACCGAGGTATGGACAGTTGACGGTCGATATCGCAATCGCCCTTGTCGTACTCACCCATTCTGGACAGGACCACTCTGCACCACATATCATCAATCTCCCCACCCGACGTGCTGTCACTATGCACATCACCCTCTCTTGTTACGGCCCAATCAGGGCACTCTGTACAGGCAATGGGCTCATCCCCCCTCGGGCTGTACTTCTCGAGGTGTGGGACCCAAGTAGCGGCGAGTGGAAGCTTGCCCGCCTCCGTGATAGGATACACAGTGCTGGCGGAATAAGGCACCTCGTGATGCGCATAGTCGGCGTAGAGGATATGGCCTTCCTTGGTTGCGAGATTGCCGCCCTCGAGGAGCAACATCCAGTCATGAATCTAGACAGCATGTAGGGATAGCTTGAATGGAGTTGTACAGTAGCGACATTCATAATGTACAGGTTGTCAGCAGCCACGATAGCGGTTGCACACATCAAAACAGTAGTCGATCCCGTCCGCAGCAGTCAATCCCACCTACAACCGTCCCATTCGCCGTCAGGAACCCGCCCTCGATGGGCCCCCAGAAGTTGAAGATGCCCGAGGGGCCATCCACGGACTGGACGCTGCACTGGTTGGGGCCGGGTGCTGTGACCGCGGCCGCATCCAAGGCGGCCGTGTCCAAGGAATCCGAAGACAGGCGGGCCGACGAACCAACTCGTGAAGGTGAGCCAGACAGCGGTCTTCCTCTGCCGGGGCCAGACGAGTGCGCGAACTGACCTTTCTTCATGTCGTCCAGGCGATTCACGTCGGAATCAGGGCAGCCGGGGTGAAGGGAGGCCGGCGGGAGGATGGAGGAGAGAAGAGGGTGGTTAGGGGCCCGTGGACGCCGCAGTGCTTGAACGAGATTGCGCACAACGCCCGGCTTGTAGCTCCTGTAGCACGTCTTGTGGCCATCGTATACCTAGCAATGATGTATGCCGTTGCTGAACGAACAGGAAGTGGGTGAGCAGGCATACAACACTGTGAGGGGGAGAGGAGGGCGTACTTGGGCCGAGTTTGCGAACTAGCGGCTAGCGACGCGCGGACACCGTGGACGAGGACTTGGTGGACATCCAGGAGTGTCTTGGGCGTGTGGGATGGGCGTCGTTGGTCGTGCGATGGCCGTGTGTACAGCCAGGGCGCGTCGATGGTCGCTGTATGCGCGTTCTTGAACCGGTTTGCCGGATCGTTGTGGCACCTTCGCAGATGCTACATACATGGTAAGTCTCATTCGATTCCGGAGTGTTTTACAGCGGGTTCATACGCACGTTCTGCTTCCCGCGAGAGGGCGTCGCGGACACGTCGACGCGGCGGGCGCTGTGTGCAGGCCCGTCGCGGCTTCAAGCTGCGATTCTGAGCTGGAATAGATGTCAGCATCAAATCCTGTATTATTAGCAAAGGCACAGATGTACCAGTTGAGGAGCTGCCCAAGGGAGCGAGAGTGGGCGCCTATATGAGGGGAGAGCGCCCGGTGTCCTGGATGAGCCGGCTGTGGGCGGAGGGAGTCGAGCGAAAGGGAGAGCGACCGTCGCAAACATTCGGCGGTTCCGTGATCGTATGGGTGAGCAAGGAGGAGTGCGAGCTGTCGAAGACTGCCTGTACAGAATGAATGTGTCTCGACGTAGGGCCAGGGTGCGATCCAGGCGTGCGAGCGACATTTCATTCTGCACAGGCCGTATCCCTCGTCGCATACCACCTTGAGGCTGCTTGAGGCTGTGCAGGCAGGCCAGGATTGACGGTGTGCAAGTAAGAACCGCCAGCGCCTAGAGGAGGAGTAGGGAGGAAGCAGAGAGCGAGACGGTGACCGCGCCAGCGAGAGCGGCGGTGACCAGGGCGTGACAAAACGCCCGCGCGCGCAGCCCAGGCGGGCGGGCTGACCCTCGCGGCGGGGTCACCGCCGCGGGCGCTTGCGCGACTCGCGCGGTGACTTTGGCGCCCGGTCACCGCAATCCGCCTGGGAACACTGAGCTGCGTTCCCCTGCCACCAAGTATGGTCTTGTTTGTTCTCAGCCACAGCTGCAACTCATTTTGCCCCCTGTTGGCTCATTCTTTACCACAACATAGGATAATTATATATCATTGGAAAGGTCTTTCTAATGTGGATCTAATGGTGGTACAATCATGGTTTTATATTGAATACACAAGCTTTAATGCACCAAACTCCAATTGTGGCTGAAGGTCATTGCCAGATTCTATGCACAATACCTGGTCTTTATGCTCACTAATCCATCTATCAAGCTTCATTATTATATTGCAGGACACTTTCATTATATAAGGCAGAAGATAATGGTAGCAGTGTATCAGATAAACTGCTTAATCTGGACCTGAACACCCTTTTACTCCAATTTATGCCTTCAATTGCATTCTA